GATACAGAGAAGATTAGCATGGCCCCTGCGCAAGATGACACGCACAAATCGAGAAGTGTACCATTTTTTGACCAAACTTTCAACACACTGGGTATGCAAGGCAGTACAACAGGCTACACCGCACACAGGCATTCGACAGGGATGCCCCCGCAGCCCGTACCTTTTCATTATGGTCATGACGGTTCTCATGTTCGACGTAGATCGAAGGCTCCGCACACATGGTGTACCTACTAATACATGGTCAGTAGGCAAACCGGTTTAAGACCTAGAATACGCAGACGACACCCTACTGATAGCCGTCACCAAACCGCAGGCGGAAGAGTTTCTCAGGGCCATACACGTAGAATCTTCCCTTTACGGCCTCACCCTCAACTTCACCGAAACTGAACTACTCGTACACCCACAAGCTCCACCGAGAGACGTACACTATGTTAACGGGGATTCGGTAGTCAACAGTGACGAGGCCAAATATTTAGGATCTCAGGTCTCCTGGCTAAACCCCAGCAAAGTGGCCATCGACACCAGAAAAGCCAAAGCCCATGTAGCATATCTGAAGCTTCAGAACATTTGGCGCAGCAGGCTCAACATTAAAGCTAAAACTAAGCCTTTTTTGGCAAGCGTCGTTCCAAAACTGTTGTGCGGCTTAGAGGTCCTCACGTTGGAAAATAAGCACCTCAAAATCATTGATGCTTGCTTCCACAAGTACTTTCGGAGATGTATAGGTGTTAAAGCCTCGTATTATTCCCACGTAACCAATGAAAGACTTCTTGGGAATCAAGCAGATGCTTCAACAAAATGGGGCTTCCAAATCGCACCTGGTAGCTGCGCCGACGCGCCAGCCAGAGTTAATCCGCTATTTGCAATGTACAGTCGGGAGCGCATGGCAGCCTTAAAAAAACTCTAAACCCTGAAACCGTAATCCCCAAACCCCAATCCCCAAGCTCTAAACCCTTAAACCCTTAAAGCCTAAACCCCGACTCTAAACCCTAATCCCCAAACCCGAATACCCTAAACCCCATAATCCAATATAGCGGCCTTAATGAATACCTATACTCTTTCAGGGGTTCCTTATCATAAGTACAGTATGCTATGCACCGAAATCCTTTTCTAATTATCACGGTCTCTACAGTACCCAAAGCGCTCCCCTAATCCCCAACCCCTGAAGCCTTAATCCCTTCTAAAGCCTAAACCTTAAACTCTAAACCATAAACCCTAAACCCTAAACCCCTAAACCCTTAAGCCCTTGAACCCTTAAACCATTAAGCCCTAAGCCCTAAGCCCTAAGCCCTAAGCCCTAAACCCTAAACCCCATCATCTACCCATCAGGCGCTCCGCTGGGTTGACGCCGGAGTCTTTTGGGAGGTCCTCATGATAAGTGTAGTATAATATACCCCAATATAGGGGCCGCAAAAAGTACCTGTGCTAGTTTGGGGGCTCCTTATTATAATTGTAGTATGTGTGTATATATATATATACACACATACATACCCCCCCAAACCCCTCTCCTAATTCTTAAGGCCCCTATACCCCACACGCTTATAGTAGCCCTTGTAGAACCCTTGTAAGGAGCCCTTTAAAAGAACCCCCCATCATTAAGGCCCCTTTTTTGACGCCCGAGGTTACTGCCAGCTCGAATGGTAACCCTTTGAAGCTCTTGGTCTCCATGGGGAAGGCACCGCTCCGGGGTGTTTTGGTTAGGGGAATTTAGGGGTTTAAGGGGGGTTGGGGATTTGGTTTGGGGGTTTAGGGCGTTGGTAAAAACAAAAAGGACCTGATTAAGCCACCCTGGGTCCTATAATCCCAAGGTTCTTTATATGGGCCAAATATTCTGAGCATTTTTTGTGGGGGTGCTTTAGGGTTGAAGGGTTGAAGGCTTTGGGAGTTAGGGGTTTTTAGGGGTTTAGGGGTTTAAAGTTTAGGGTTCAGGGGTTTGGGATTTAGGGGTTTAGGGTGTAGGGCTGGGGGCTTCAGGGTTCAGGGGTTTAGGGCTTGGGGATTTCGTGGTTCAGGGTTTAGGGCTTAGGGTAGGACTTAGGGGCCCCCAGGCATTTTACAGCGTCTTTGTTTGTAACGATTTTGTAAGGGTTTAGACGGGGCTTACTTGTAATCCCGTTTGAAGATTTTTGCGAAGGGTTCTATACGGGCTTGACGGGGTGGTCCCCAGCTCCAGCAAGGAATAGGGTTGGGTTTTCGGTAGGAGGCTCTTGCTAAGGAATCAAGTTGAAGCTTTCGTGATGGGGGGTATAAAGCAGATTCCAACGCCCTAAGCCCTAAACCCTGGACCAAGGCCCAAAACCCTATTCTAACTATAAAGGCCCCTACATTATGTTCGTATGCATGCAAAGTATTCGAAGGGTTGTTAGCAGGATCTCCTTAAAAAAAAGCGAGGTTCAAGTTCATGAAAAAGGGTGCTTTGTGGCGAAGGCTGCTAGAAGAGTTTGTAGGAGTCTTATACAAGGAGCCTGATAGACCGGCTTAGGGCACATTACAAAGCTGGGAGACATTAAGTTTGGTTTAGGGATCAAAGCCACTAAAATCCGAAAACCGCCTAGCCAAGGTATATTATACTATAATTGTGATAAGGGACCCCAAAAGCCTATTCTAATTCTTAAGGCCCGTACATTACACACCGAAGACCCTTGTAAGCTTTGAAGAAGACCAGGTGGGAGATCCAGTTGGCCAGCACTTCTTGTCCAAGGTCCAGCTCAAGAACACATCAGTGCCCGGCCAGTTCCGCTACAGCCGCTTGCGTGCAATGACCTGTGGCTTTTTCCTTGCGTTTTCTGGGGTTTGCTAGTCTGAAATAGGGTTTCCTGGGGTGTTGCGTGGGACTGTAAGGGGATACGAGCACTATCTATTCGGATCCTTGTATTAGGGTTCGTGCTGGTCTTAGTGGGCTCTGTTCCTTGTATTCAGGGTTTAATTTGTTTTTTTTCGTCTTGGGTCTGTTTTCCTTTTTCATGCCCGTATCAGTGATATAGGGGCCTTAATAATTACCTATAGTGTTTTGGGGCCCCTTAGTATAGTTATGGTAGAAAATACCCCCAAACCCTATTCTAATTTTAAAGGCCCCTACATTTTCTCCATCAGTTCGCAGATTGCCTGCTCATCCAGGCTATTGGATGGCCAGCGGCGTCTTTGATTCTGCGAACTGCCATGACCTGCAGACAGACTGCGTCCAGGCAGGCAACCGAAGACTGTTAAACGCGATGCACTCCATTTTGCATGGTGATTTCACGAAAGACCCATCCTCGACTCCACTACCCCAAACATTAAACCCTAATCCCTGAAACTCGAAGCCGTGCAGGTTTTCCTTCATGCCCTGGTACCTGAAACCCTAAACCCCAAACCCTAAACCCTCCAGCCCTCCTAAACCCTCCGGAAAACCCCAAACCCTAAAGCCTCCTAAACCCTCCGGAAAGCCCCAAACCCTAAACCCTCCTAAACTCTCCTAAACCCCCAAACCCTAAAACTTAAATCGCCAAGCCCTCAACATCCAAACCCAGGAAGCTCCAAACAGGAGCTGTTGTATTTAGAGGGCCGTGAGCCACGGTTTAGGGATTAGGGTATTACGGTATTAAGGGTTTTGGGCTGGGGAGTTCAGGTTTTAGGGTTTAACGTTCCGCGTGCAGGTTTTGAGGTTTAGAGTTTAGGGTTTCGCTCCTAGGGCTTGCATGTGCCAAGCGTTTAGGGCTTAGGTCGTAACGGTTTCTTTGGCCATTTAAGGGTTTAGCGGTAGAGTTTAGAGAGTACAAGTGAAGGGCTTGAAATTTTACGTAGGGTTTCGCGGGTGAATCCTGCTGTCTACAGGCCACAGACTCGGAGCTCTACCAGCTTGAGGCGCATCGCGCACCTTTGCAAGACTCAGTGCGCAAGGTTTCAATTTTTTATGGGAGTTTAGGGTGCGCCCCCGTAGGTTTTGTGTTTTGAGTAAGGGCTTTGTGGCTCTGTATAGGTACTGCATTTTTATAGAGAACCCTGAGCCCCAGCAAGCGGCTTCGCTTTCGGTTCAGGAGCGCGCATCTTCGAAGAACGACGCTGCTAACATGATGCATGCAGGATGGTGATTGGCAATGACCATGGTGGTGCTGACGATGGTGAGGAGGATAAACCTTAGACCCTGGGTTGGTTGGTTGTTTGCTTGTTTGCTTGGTTGGTTGTTTGGTTGATTGATTGGTGCATGATGACGCGACGACGACCATGAGATGATGGCGGTGATGATGATGGCGGTGTTTATGACGACGGTAACGATGACTCTGGTGATGCTGGTGCTGATCAGCCTTTTGTCAGTGGTAGGAGCTAAGGTTCAATGTGGAAGAGGCCAAGCTCTGCAATCGGCGACTTGGTGCGCTAAGGCTTTCGTGGTTTAGGGGGTTCGGGGTTTAGGGTTCAGGCTTTAAGCTTAAGCTGAGGTTTGGTTTGAGGGCTGCGATTTGAGGTGCGTAATAATTCATTACTAATATTCTACCCCAACCGTTAGCCCTAACCCCTAAGCCCTAAGCCTTAAATCCCAAGCCTCTTTCCTACACCCTGAACCCTGAACCCTGAACCCTAAGCCCTAAGCCCTAAATCTCAAACCCTAAACGTTTAGGGCTAAAACATACTATAGGGTTTTAGAATAGTGTCCTCTTTAAGGGATACGATAGGGCTTTAGAAAAGGGCCCCCTGTAAAACATACCAAAGGGTTTTAGAATCGGGTCCCCTTCAGGGGATATACCATAGGGTTTTTACAAAGAAGGGTTCCAAATAAGGGATACTACAGGGTTTTACAAAAAAAGGCTCCCCTTTAAGGGATACTACGGCGTTTCACAAAAAAGGGTCCTCTTTAAGGGATACTACAGGGTTCTATAATAGGGTCCCCTTTAAGGGGTACTATGGGGTTTTATAATGGTGTGCCCCGAGAAGTCACATGTGTAGGGCTTTAGGGTTGTAGTGTTGTAGGTTTAGGGTGTTGGGGTTTTTAGGGTTGAGGGTTTAGGGCCTAGACTGAAATGCGACGTCTGCACACTTCGGCAACCACTGAGGGAGCAGCAGAGGAATTCGCACTTCCGCTTCGCACACAAGGCTTTGGTGTTCATTTCCCTAAATGCCCAAGCCTAGACCGTAGACCCTAAATCCTGAGCTCTAAACCTTAAGCCCAGCCATTGCTTTAGGGTGTAGGGTTTGGGGTATAGGGTTCAGGCTGCTTAACCCAAAGCTCTAAAGCCTAGACCCTACACACATTGATTTGCTGAATCCGAGGTGGCTTTCCAAACATGTCCTCAGGGCTACCAGTGCCTGGGCTCCACCGCGCCGGTGTTCGAAAGCTTAGGGTTTAGGTTATTAGGATCATAAGGAAACCCTACGCCCTAAGCTCTAAACCCTTTAACCTACGACAAAGGAAAAGCTCTAGGCACCCGAAAGCTTCGAAACCCAACTAAATAATTACCAATACTATTTTGGGGTCTCCTAATTATAAGTATAGTATAATGGGCCCCAAAACCCTATTCTAATTATTCAGGCCCCTGTATTAGGTTCGGCGATTCATTCGAACTGTCTGATGCACTCGCAACAAAAAGAAATTACGCTGCAACTGCTTCCGGTAGTCCATCCCTGTGGGGCTCCTCGCAGGGCATTGAAACCCCGATAGAAAACCGTATTCTAATGCTCAAGGCCCCCCTCTATTCCTCAGGTACTAGGGATCCCAAGCTTTCGGCGGCTTAAAAAGGAGGGCTCCCAAGGAGGTTCAGGAAACTCGTAAATGCCCCACGGCCTCAGCCAGAACCCTTGCTTTAAGGTTCCTGCCCTGACGTTTATCAAGACCCCCCAAAAAGCCCTGATGATGAACACTCCTAGAGTCTACCTAAGCCCGAAACCCTAAACGCTGTGACCGATCTAGGTATGCTTATCGCTGCTGCGACCTGCACGGCATGGGCGGTTGCGATCTCGAGCTGACGCCATGGACGAAGAGAGAGCCTTCGGTTCAAGGACGCATCGAGGCCTTGGCGAAGCACGTGATGAGCTGCAAGGACTTCCGGCTACCATGAACCCTAAATCCCTAAACCCTCAACCCTGAAACTTCAACCCGATTCAACCCTAAACCCTTAAACCCTAAATAAGGGTTCACCAGAGGGGGCCTTTAGGGCTAGAATAGGGTTTGGGGGGCATATTCTAGTGTAGCTAATATGGGTTTAGTGTGTTAGGGCTTTGGGTTTAGGGTGCAGGAATTTAGGATTGTGGGCTTTTCCTTTGTCCGTGGTCGTTTGTTTGTTGTGTCTTCTCTGAGAATACAGCAAGTGCTGTCGCTGCTGCTGTGGCTCTTCCTCCCGGTAACCTCAAACCCTCAGCCTAAACCACAAAATCCCTAAAGCCCAAACCGAACAACCCAAGAGGACAGCTGGTTGCCTCGTTTTTTTTTACACCAAAACCCATACGAGATCCGCAAAGGGAGCTAGAGGACAGCCGGGTGCCGAGAAGCCAACCGTCCCAAAGCCCTAAACCCTAGCTAAACCCTAAACCCCACATCCCCAAACCCCAAAGCCCCAAAACCCTAAAGCCTGAAACCCGAAACCCTACCACAAGCTCTAACGCCCTGAAGCCCTAAAGCCCTAGAGCGCTGGAGTCAAAGTGTACGTCCCACTACCAAAAAAAGCCCTACAGCCCTAAACCCTAGAAACCATCTAATTGAAGCTAATTGAAGAGGACAGCTGGGTGCTGAGCAAAACCCTAAAACCCTACAGCCCTAAACCCTAGAAGCCCTCTAAGTGAAGAGGACAGCTGGGTGCTGAGCCACTTCGTCCTGGAGGCGAAGGATCCCGGCGAGAGCAACTCGGAGGTCAGACTCTCGGCCTCTTCCCTTCTAAGGAGGGTTTTTTATAGGGTTTTTCGGGCTTATAGGGTTTAGGGTTTACAGGGTTTAGGGTTTAGGGCTTAGGGCTTATAGGGTTTAGGGTTTCAAACTAGTCTTCTTTCCTGTTAAGATGAAGTCTTATTGGGAGTTTTTATCGTGTTGGTAAGCATTTTGCAATGACAGAGCGTTTCGGGTTTTAAATAGGTATCTAGGGTTCTAGAGTTCAAGGGTGAAGGGGTTTGAGGGTTCTTGGGCTTAGCGGTGTTTTTTGCTTCGAGTTGAGGGTTTTGGGTTTGGGGTCCCAGGCGCTCAACCACGATCCCCCCCGCAGATTTTCCAAGATTAAGATACTTCGGATAACAGCGGGCTTAATGTAGGGGCCTAAATAATTACCCAAACTATTTTTGGGGGATCCTTATCATAAGTATACTATCATGGGCCCCAAAACCCTATTCTAATGATTAAGGCCCCTGCATCACTTCTGATAAGAGCCGGCTATGGGTTCCTAGTGCAGCTAAGGATTCTTATACACCTGCTGCGAGATCGCACCGCACGAGCCTCTCTCCATTATCGGGGAGCAGCTCGGCTTTTGAACACCGAGCTTGAAGAGTTCGTGAGGTAGTTTAGTACCAGGGCTTGTCGGGTATACCTAAGCCCTGAACCCTAAACCCCCCTAAACCCCCCTAAACCCCCCTAAACCTCCCTAAACCCCCCTAAACCTCCCTAAACCCCCCTAAACCTCCCTAAACCCCCCTAAACCTCCCTAAACTAGTCATATAGGGACTCTAAAGGGGATACTATTACTAATCGTCCCGCTACATGAGACTTCATTCTCGGTGCAGACTGCAAGTGCCTGCGCCTTGCGTCGCTGAGGGCTTCAGGGCTTTTTTTGGGGGGGTTTAGGGTTTAGGGTTTGAGGGTTCAGGGCTTAAGGGGTTTAGGGTTTAGGGTTTCGGCTGAGTGATTAGAGATTAAATTTTGCAGATTTTGGGATAATGCAATCCCCTATAGATCTGAAAGTTCATATTTTGAGGGCTTCCTAACTAAGGAATATTGCCACAGCTAAATCCTGACACCTGCTAGCGGCCAAAGCGGAAGAGGAGCACAGTACTAGCAATCCCTGCGTAATGGTGGCCGCCACCTTAGCGCATCTAGGTCTCAGAATCTTGAAAAGCCACATGTGCATCCGAAGCCGATCAAGTGTTCAGCGGATGGGCTTCTAGTAGCGATTAGGGCGCCCATCCCAAACCCAAGTACGTGAACACGCCAACCACGGTATCAACAAAAGCCTTCTTAAGTTTATCAGGTCCTTTACAGGAGTCCGACAGGCCGCTAGAATCTTTTTCCGCTCCTATAAGGTCCGTATTCCTTGTTGCTATCGCGTGAGATCTTTTCAAAGCCGTTTCAATGTTAGGAAAAGCCCCCTGCCGCTTTCCTACGCGAACTTCGAGGGCTTCTACTTCCCCACCTCTCGCGTGGAGGGTCGGCTGTCTCTCGGCTTTCCATGCGGAGTTTCAAAGGCTTTAGCTGGGCTTATAGGGTGTTCATTAGGGCATGTTGGTTGTATCCTAAGCCCCTTAACCCCAAACCCTAAACCCTAAACCCCTAAAGGCCTCAATACTTACCTATACTATTTTGGGGGTTCCTTACTATCATTATCGTATAATATACCCCCCCCCCCCCCAAAACCTTATTGTAGTTGTTAAGGCTTCTACATTGCAGTCCTCGAGCCTCAACCACCAGAGCCCTAAACTCAAGTACCCCTGGTCCCCTTAAGGCTCTATCTCCTTGGACTGAAATCCCAAAACCAAATTTCAATTTAGGGTTTAGGGTTTAGGGATCCTCAAACTCCAAGCCAAAAAGCCCGAAACCCCAGACCCTCCAAGCCCCAAATTGGAGAATCCTTGTTGGAGGAACCTTTCAGAAGCGTAGCATTTTTTCTTCTTATCCCCGTACAGAACCCTGAAAAACATTTCAACGCCTATGTAATCAGTTGCCAACTGGCCAGTGTAGCAACCCGCTCTTAAGCCAAACCCTAAACCCTGAATCCTACACCCTAAACGCTAAACCCTAAACCCTAAACCCTACACCTTACACCCTAAACCCTAAACCCTAAGCCCTAAGCCCTAAACCCTAAACCCTCAACCTAAGGCTCTATCACATGGACCATGCCTTCGATCGCCAAGCCGCCGCCGCCGTTCGAAATTTCAGCTTCGACCCGCATCACGGCCACTGGTGCCTCTTCCAAGCGACCCGGCCCCCACTTTCTTCAGCCAAGCTTCGACCCAAACACCTAAACCCTAAAACCCAATCAAAAACCCCAAACTCACGAATACCTCTAAACTCCCCAAACCCCTACAACCCCTGAACCCGAATCGAAGGAAACCTCTGAGAAACCCTAAAGCCCCACGCTGCTCCTGCCTTCTTCCCGACAATGCTACTCAAGTCATTAAGGCTCCGTAAGAAGCCCAAAGCTCCTCTTAGCCTTCCTCCGGCAAAGGAGAATGCAAGCTGCGTGCACCAGGGCACACCTCATCCTCTGCAGTTCCCAGGCCGTTTAGTGGTGGTGTTCATTCCGAGTTTTGTGTTCAGGGTTTCGGGTTTAGGGCTTAGGGTTGAGTGGTCTTCATTCCGAGTTTTGGGTTTTGGGTGCAGGGTTTAGGGTTTAGGATGAAGGGTTAAGGGTGCTCCCAGGCCGTTCAGTGGTACTATAGGGGCCTTAATAATGGATTTTTGGGGCCTGTTATACAAGAATTCTAATAAGAAACCCCCAAAACCCTATTCCAATGATTAAGGCCCCTACATTATACGTTTCGAGTTTTGTTGTGTCTGATTTTCTATTATATCCTACGCCCTAAACCTTAAATCCTAAATCCGAAACCATAATATCATACGCCCTACACCCTAGGCCCAAGGCCCTAAGCCCCACACCTTAAAAGTCCTAAACCCTAAACCCAAAGTCCCAAAAGCTAAATCCTAAATCCTTAAAACCCAAGACAGCATCTCTAAACCCTCAATCCTAAATCCCAAACCCTAAATCTTAAATCCTTCAAACCCAAGAAAGCATCTACTTCTTTCCAGGGCTTTGCTGAACAGCCCAGGCTCATCTCCGGCGCAGAGGATCCCTTTGAGGTGTTTCCGGGAAAGGGTTTAGGGTTTAGGGTTTTGGGTTTAGGGGTTGGGGTTTAGGGTTTTGGGGTTTAGGGTTTGGGGTTTAGGGTATTGGGGTTTAGGGTTTAGGTTTGGGGTTTAGGGTTTAGGGCTTCGGGTTTGGGGTTCAGGGTTAGGGATGTTCAAGGCGCTTCGAAAGGGCGGTAGTGGTTCTTTTTTCTTGTTTTGCATCGCCCTATAGGATTTTGGAAGTGCTTCACTCTAGTAGGTGGTCATGTGTTTTTTTTCCACAGGCTTTCTGGGGTTTCGTATGGGCTAGCTGGTGTTGCAGGTGTGGGAGTCAGGCTTTCGGCGTTTATGGCTTAAGAGTCCATTGTCTTGGGGCTTGACACCCTAATGCCAAACCCGGAATAAACCCCTAAATCCTAAGCCCTAAGCCCTAAGCCCTAAACCCTAAACCCTAAACCCTAAACCCTAAACCCTAGACCCTAGACCCTAAACACTAAACCCTAAACCCTAAGCCCTAAGCCCTAAACAATGAACCCTAAAC